GTGAGGAAAGATAACCTACTCTACCTACCTCATAGAGTTGTTGATTAATGTCAGAGTAGTTGGAAAACAATGAAGGAATATCATCCTATTATTACAGTTTTTAGGCCTACTTTCTTCAGTCTATTCAAATAAAAAATCTTTCCACAGTGAAGTCTATCTTTGATATAAAACAATTAGAACCTGATGTCTCAAGCTATACTTGCAGAATGTATTCTCAACTGAGCAATTTAGGGATGATGGTAGGACAAAGTGCTTTTCTGAAGGTTGACAATGAGCCTACTAAGGCTCAGAGTTCCTTATTTTTATTTTATTGAATATGTTAGCAGCATTCAACACTACTGTCATATGCAACTAGGATATGGGAAAGTGTGCTTTCATGTTTCAAATCTCTTTCTACTAGTTAATTTCATTGAGAATTGTGTGTTTATATACTTACTCTGATCTATAAGACTCAGGAATGATTAAAGTATTTTGAGTGTTTCACTGTTGCTATCAACAGAAAACATTTAAAGCACTATGATGTCTGAATTTTTAGACGCTATAGGCAGTGGTACCAGTACTATCTTTCCCTCTTTTTCCCCCCTTAGCATAAATGGCTTCTTTTATGACTTTATAACTGACATTAACAACACTGAAAACTCTGTCCACTTGTGGATTTCTATAACATAGGTAAACTTGCTATTTTTCTCACTTCACTTTTGTAGCACTGGATTGGACCTTGTTAGTTCACTGTAATAGTGGCAGGAAGCAGATGAATCCTAGGTAGACAGGAATGGGTCCCCAGTGAAACCTGAACTTCAAGCCAAAATCAGTTTAAAGCCTAGCTACAAGTCCCAGGGTAAATCCATGGACCGGTTTGAGAACATGTCTTCCTGTTTGGCATACTTTTCTCTGATTGATCACCACCCTTTACCTATTTTACATACACCTATCCTTTCCTAATTGGTTTTTTTACACTGTTGTACCCACCTTTGACTGGTACCTTTTACCCCACCCCCCTTTTTTTTTGCACACTCACAAACCAGTCAGCAAGCATTCATCATTCTGAGCCCATAAAAGCCCAGACCCAGCCACAAAGAGAAAAACCACCCAACTTTGGGCAGGGGATCACCCTTCCATCCCCTCTCCACTGAGAGCTGTTTCATCACTCAATAAAATTTTTCTCTGCCCTCCTCACCCTTCAATTGTCAGCATGATCTTGTTCTTGGATGCAGGACCCGAACTAGGGATCCACTGAACGTGCGTACACCAAACGCTTAACAACTGTGGTCCTCTGCCCTCCGCTGGCAGAGGGCAGCCACCCCATGCGAAGGGAAGAAGCACCAAGGCTGAATTAGCCCTGGAGCCATGGGCCAGAGTGAGGGAAAGGGCTGACAGAGTTGTTAACATGCCATTGTCCACTGGGCCATGGACAGTGGGACTAAAAGAACTAATCAGCATGCTGTAACATCTCCTTTGGGGTTTCGGGCTTGTAGGCACCCCTGCCTGGGCACCACTGTATTCCCCTCATCTGGATGCCAGAGTCTACCACGGGAGTGGCTTGCGACACACCTGATCCAGCTGAAAGCCCTGTATGGAGCCCATGTCTGTGCTGGCACTCAGAATGGCTGGCTGGGCCCTGCACTCACTTGCTCATGCACCCCCTCCCATGGGCAGCTGAGCACACAGTCACAGCTGCCACAGGACATGGGCTGGTGTGCAAGCCAGGCATGGCCCAGTGGGCCAAGTAGATGGGGCATCTCCTGCAGCAGGCCCCAGGGCTGAGGCCCAGGGCAGAAATGTCACCAGCTGTGGAGGTCCTCAGCTGGCAGAATGATAGACAGATCCTGTGTCAATTAGAAGTCAGTTCTTCACCATCCTGGCCAGCATGGTAAAACCTTGTCTCTACTTAAAAAAACAAAAATTAGCTGGGTATGGTGGTGGGTGCCTGTAGTTCCAGTTAATCAGGAGGCTGAAACAGGAGAATCACTTGAACCCAGAAGGTGGAGGTTGCAGTGAGCTGAGATTGTGCCACTCCACTCCAGCCTGGGCAACAGAGACGCTGTCTCAAAAAAAAAAAAAAAAAAAAGAAAGAAAGAAAGAAAGAAAGTTCTTCAAAGATAAGAGGATATTCTGCTTAAGTAGGTCATGAGAGACAATTTAACTCAACTTCCAAATATTACAAAAGAGAAGCCCAAGGGTCAGCAAGCATGATTTTTCCAAAATAATGAAGATGTTGGAAGTAGAACCAAGGTTTCACCCAAGGTCCCAATTCCTAATTCAGGTTCCTTGTAGAACACTACACTGCCACAGACCCATATTAACACATGTCAAGTGACTTTAGTTATTACTTAAAATCTGTAAAATGGTATCAATGGGTCTGCCATATATGCACTTAACTATGTCTACCACTTTGCTGGGTTAGCCATCTGTGTAGTCCCTTAAAGGATACACAGCTTTTTGTACTTTTCCTATAGATATCATCATTCCATGAACTTGTTCTACTGAGCCTTTTAAACTTGACTCCCTCATCATGCCTAATTTTTTATGTCTCAGGAATACCAGTTTAAGGTAATTGTATTAATCATGTTTTTACTTGGAAAGACTCTGAATATAAAGGTGGTGGATTCCCTTTTTTAGATACGCTATTACTTTTTTCTCTTAAACCTTAAAGAATCTGTATTTTAATGCCTGTAGAATTTGCTTCAATATACGTGCATGACTTTATTGAGAGTGAAAGTACTTCATTAAAATCATACTAACATGAAAGGGCATTTAGGTTCCACTAATGAACACTGATGAACTTAGAATAAAGAATTCTGAAGCTGAATGAGTGAGTGATTCACAGATATATCAACCATATCTAGTTAGGGAAAAATTACCAAGATCGATAAGTTTTGATAACATATTCATTTTTTCCTTCATTTAAAACAAACAAATCATGCAAGTAGAAAATTCACATTGCTATTTTAGCAAGGTTTTCCACTCCCTATCATTCTAAAAATTCCTAATGCTAAGCTGATAGAATCTGCCTAAGTTTATAGATCAAAACTCATACCTCACTGACCAGCAACCTCATTCTTTAGTCTTATTTTACAGATATTTTATCATCTTGCGGGTTTTTTTGGGGGGTAGGGAGTATATAGTCAGAGAACTTACAAATACATATGTACATAAAATATAAATATGGAACTTTCAATTTTCATAGTCAGATTTGTAAGCCTTACCAGAAAAAAAGTATGCTTCCTTATGCATCAGAGAAATAATGGATTATATTTCTGATGCTTAGTGAAACTGCTTTGTGTAAGAGAAATGATATGAAAGTTCATAACTTTACACAACAGGTATAGTTATAAGTGTGATATTGTGCTGGCCTAGAGCCAGAACCAGAGCAAAACTATTTTATAAAATGCAAAACTGTTTTTAGATAAGTTGAAATGGCTGCCCCATTCTCCTCACAATAACTGCTAGCCTTGGCTACTGTAAATAAAACTGCTAGTTTGCTTTGCAAACTAGCCACTATGTAAAGCTGCTTACCTTTTCTTATCAGTAACTGCCAGAATTGCTAGCCTTTGCTTACCGGCAATTGCCAGACTAAGCAGCCCAAGCTAGTTCCATCCTGGCTCCTGTGACTTGTAATAAGTAACTAAGGTCTGTGATTTCCACCTTAACCAGATAATGTGTAAACAAATGTTTATCTTGACTTCTGTAAACCACTTATGTAACAAACGGAATGACAAAAGTCCCCTGGCCCTTGGAATGTCCGGAGACCCCCACCCTCATCTCTGCCCAGGAGGTAATTTACAGAATCCACTAGCCCTCGGAATGTCTGAAGCCTTTTCATCCCCATCCCCGCCCCTGACCCCCACTCCCAAGGTGGTTTTTCGGGTATAAAAAATCGTGGCACCCTCCTTTTGCCACCACAGGTTGGAGAGACGTGAGTCCTCTGTGGTCGCCGGCATAATAAATGACCCTGCAATCTGGCATACTTTTGTGATAACTTTCTACGCTCTGGTCAAATACAATATAAGGAAGTAAATTCTTTTAAGTCAATCAAACAATAAAGGATATACTAAAAGGCTGAAGTCAACAACCAAGGAAAGGACAGAAATCCTTTGAATCTAAATTTACATTAAACTTGGAGGCCCAAGTTGATCAGACAGAGCCTTGGCAATGGAACCCACAGACAGACTGACTGACTCAGAGACAGTTCGACAACTGCCAACATGACTGTTGGGAGGGTTGCCAAAGAGCCAAAGGCTGGGATTACCATCCAATGCCTGGCATTCTGATATTCGTGTTTGAAGCTTTCTCTCTTATACTTCTTCCAATATTTTTGTTTGGCTCAAAAGTAGCAAGGATTCACAGATTTTTTTAGATCATTAAATGTTCTTATTTTCAAGAAATATAACATTAGTTGTAAAAGAGCACACTTTTCCTCTGAAGTGTAAAGAAAATTTTGGTGAATCGTTTTACGCTCAAATAGAGAAATCAGTGTTAAAGTCTGTTTGAATCTTTATTTTATTAGATTATGCTTAACCCCCCAAATAAGAAATATTAATACACATCATAATGTGAAATAATTTAGTGCTTCATTGTATCTGCTCTTACAGAACTGGTCTTTTTATAAATCTACTTTCTTGATCGTCACATGGCCCCCAAGGTTCTACTTGGATAAATCAACCCCTGTGTGGGGTACCAATGATAATACAGTTTGGCTATAAGGAGAGGTAGTTCCCTCAATGATTTCCTTGACTTGTGAGGAAGGCAAAAGGGAAGAACAACCTTCTGCGGGAAAAGAGACATTTGTTCCAGTTTCTCATGGCTATGTCCATTTAATTTGCCTGCTGAGTTGCTGGCCAATGAGTTATGTGTTTTGGCCTACAACTTTAGGCAAATGCTATCATTAGGCAATTTATCTGCCACTAGGCAAATTCCACATTCAGAATTCTTGGACTCTCACAGAGAAGCCTATTTTTCACCCAACTTAAAATTATGCATATCCTACTGGGGAAGCTTACCTTTGGGTCTCTAAGGAACAGAGCCTTAAGAATCAGTGAGTGTACATCCCCGATGAGTGGGTAATGCATCAGAAGGCCGAGACAGGTCTGGTAGTTACTAGAGATCACTAAATAAGAGGAAAAAATAATTCAGAAGCAATACTATTTAAGATATTCTGCATTGCAGAGAACATAAAAACTAACAACTTAGAGTCAATGAAAGCAAACCAATAACTCAACTGATAGTAGGAAGAAGGGATCTTTACTAAATTGCCTTTGAAGGAACACATTGTATTGTTAACTGCAATCTAACATATTAGCATTTATCCTCAGGGGGTTTTGGAAAGAAGAACTTCACATACAGATATGTGTACATCTGCAACATAAATTCTCAGAACCATGCATATTTACTGCTATTTATATGGCTGTCTTTAAATGTCTCCTGTTTTGCTACTTAGAAATTAGTAATAAAAACCATATGAATGGAAAAGAATCAGTTTAACATTTTCATTAAATAATATTTGCCTTGATTATTATGTTATAACTTGTTACATTTTTTTCTTTTGTATAGGTAAACGTTATACAACTCAAAATTAAAGAAAGCAGAATTTCTTCTAATTATTTGTTTTTCTAAAGGTAACAATAGATATAGGGAAAGAATATCTATGCAGCATTTCTTGGAGGAAAAGTGTCAAAATTGTCACAGATAAGTCTAAATGTGTTCCATAGCCTGTCATTTAATGTTTTTTCAAATCAACCTAATTATGGGTGTAATTATTAAACACATCTTTTCAGGCAGGTCTATGTAAACTACTTTACTTCTTGGCAATCTTATCTGCCACTGCTGTCACAGGCGGGCCCATTAACAATGCTTGTTTTGTGAACCACACTGACGGCCTCCACAGCACTGATCGTGAAGAAAGTTTACAATTTTAACTTCTGTGGCTGCAACTGAAGCCTTTTCATTAGCCAGTTACTTGAAAAATGTTCCATAAGAAAACAACTGTGATTCAATAGAAACAACTGAAATAAAAAACTAAGCAATTATTTAAAATTATAAATATCTTTGATTTTCAGATTATTTTTTCTTCTGCTGTTGGAATATCATTTCTTGCTATAACTTCCTACTTCTCCCCCTCCTATGAGCACTACGGGGAAAGGAGACAGGACTGGGCAAAATGAATAATTATAATCTATGTAAGGAACCACTTTATCATCTTCATTTCTATTGCTGATATGACAGCTTGTAATTTCATACATCTGCTTTCATTTGTAAAGCACTCACTTATCCTACCCTTTCTGTATCTGTTCAGACTGTTATTTATTCATTTTTTCATATTTACCTTTAGTTACCTGCTGTCCTTTTTTCTCTAGAAATTCAAAAGCTAAGATACTGAGAAGAGTATAATGTTTTTATGTACAGTTTTGAGATCTAGCAAGTAATTAAGACTTAATCAATTCATCTTATAACTCAAAAAGTAGTTATATATTAGTAATTGACCAAGAAAGAATTCTTACACATTTTCTAAGGAGGTAGGAAAATTTTGTGGAAAAATTTCTGATCTCATGACTCAGAGATGTAGGTTTGAATCCTGGGGCTTTATTTGAATCTTTCATCAAGTTGCCTAAAGATGAAACAATATAATCTATAAGACTGATTTATAGCAGCTGTTTAAAACCAGTTCGGGTAACCTCTGTGAGCTTAAGTTTAGTTGCTTGGAAAACAACTTTTTGATTGAAAATATTTATTTGGCTGCTTCATTCAATCCAATAATTATTTGTTGAATTACCTCATGCACGACAGGTCCTATGCTAAGGGAGGATGTAGAGATAAACAAAACAGAGTCCTTACTCTGGAGAAAATTACACTACAGAAGGGCAGATGTGTAATATCAAAAAGCTATTACTACTACTACAACTAAGATAACAGTGAATTATTAAAAGCTTCTGAGCCAGGCCACATGCTAAGAACTTTACCTACATTATCTCATTTAATTTCTATGATATTCTTATGAAAATAACAAAATTATTTTCTTTGTTTTACAGATGCAAAACTGATACTTGGAGAAGTTAAGTCGCTTGCGCAAGTTACCAGTGACTCCCTAGAGGGGCAAGATTGGAAACCCAAGAGTCCAGCTGCAGAGTGTGTACTCTAATACAAGACATTTGTTTTGAAAGGCTATTGTTTTTGAAAATCAAGAGACACAATGGATGCATACTGTAAACTAGTAAAGTATTACTAGTGTAGTAGTTTTAAGTATACTAGAAGATCAGCATAACCTAGTCTCCAGAACAGTTTGATTGATTGATTAATCATTTATTTACTGTTTTTTTTTTAAGACACAGGGTCTTGCTCTGTCATCTAGGCTGCAGTGCAGTGACACGATCACAGCTCACTGCACTCTCTAACAATCCTTCTGCGTCAGCCTCTGGAGTAGCTAGGACAGACTACAGAAGCATACACAATGCCTGTCAAATCTGTAAGTTTTTTGAAAAGACAAGCTCTTGCTATGTTGCCAGGCTTGTCCTGAACTCCGTAGAATAGCCTGATTTAGATATAAATATATAGACAGAGACCAGAGCAATAATCCTGTTATTATAACTTGTTAAAACTTTTGAAGCTATCAGAAGCTATAAAATATATAAGGGAAGCCAAATAATGTACTAATATTCTACTTGCAGAACAAATGAAGAAGGTAACACTTTCATCTTTCTTTTTTTTTTTTTTTTTTTTTTTTTTGAGACAGAGTTTCGCTCTTGTTACCCAGGCTGGAGTGCAATGGCCCGATCTCGGCTCACCGCAACCTCCACCTCCTGGGTTCAGGCAATTCTCCTGCCTCAGCCTCCCAAGTAGCTGGGACTACAGGCACGCGCCACCACGCCCAGCTAATTTTTGTATTTTTAGTAGAGACGGGGTTTCACCATGTTGACCAGGATGGTCTCGATCTCTTGACCTCGTGATCCACCCGCCTCACACTTTCATCTTTCTATCCATCCATCCAATCACTGCATGCAATGAACATTTCCTGAGCATCTACTGAATGCCAGATATCCAGAGGCTATGCTAGGCACTGGCATTAGGAACATAACAGCAAATAAATTCACTGCTTTCAGGCAATGGCATCTCTAATTTGCTAATGAAAATCTGCATAGAAATATCCTTAATTTGAAATTACATATACTAAGTATTAAATCTCCTTTTGAATAACTACAGCCAATTTAAAGTAGGTAGAAGAGAATTATACAAGCTTGTTTAAAAACAAACTAGGAAGGATCTGACACAACAAGAATTTAGTTTTGAACTTTACAGTAAGCTTTTATTGAACATGAAAAACTAAACTAATCCATAATACTGTTCTTTCTCCAATATTTATTCTATCAGAGCAGGGCAGTGACATGAAGGAAAAAGTGAGAGATTCAGAAAAATTACTGAGTTTTAGTATCTACCTACATTTGAAATGAAGTATGTTTATGCTTTAAAAACAAAATACTAAAGCCACATTCTAAAGAGTTGATTTAGAGAAGGTAAAGCAAAGGTAAGTAGTACCTAAGAAAAGATAATGGATTTGGAATGAGAACTAGATTAGATCATTCGCCTAGTCATTATAATATGGTGAATTTAGGCAAGCTGCCCAACTTCACTGAAACTTTATTTTCCCATTTACAAAATAAAGACAATACTGCTTACTCTATCTACAGGGTTTCTGTGAGTGGCCCAGGGGCTAGGTGGTACGTTTCCCTATCTTGCTCAATTCATCCTTGATGAAAAGCATTACTTCCACATGAGGCAGAGCTGACTTCTCTGTCTGAACGTTTATGTGCCCCACAACTATTCTGGAATGGTCTGAAGAGATGGTTTAAGTTTCTCCATCAGGTACAAACAAACAAACCAAAAAGGGAAATCAGTAATGATATGCAGAAAAAGTAATTGTTTTGAGAAAGTTTAAAGCAATGTGGATCAATAACTTACACCTAACTCAAAACTAACCACACTTACAATTGTAACACTATTTTCAAATTATTTAAGTTCATATTGAGATATACTTTCATTCTTAACATAATAAAACGGACTGAAACTACCACAAAACACGAAACTATATACAGATTTCCTTTAATTTCTCACCTGGCTCCTCCAAAATAGCTATCACTTTGTCAAGTACCTATAACATGCCTGAAAAATAGTCATATTATTTTATAAAGATCTCATGAGTCCTCCTAATTCCCCCTAAGGAAAGCATCATCGTTGACTCTCTATTATAGAAGAGGTAGTGCAGAGTAGGTAACATCACAGCCAAGGGCACAGAGCTCTGAATGGCAAAGACAGGGCTGAACCTGGGTCTGTGTAGACTGAAAGCCTCCCTCTTTACCACTATGTCTTATACTTTCTTACATTCTTAGCAAGGGCATGACAGGGGTATCTGCATAAACTGAAAAAAGTCCTTCGTGTAAAATGCCAATAATATTGAATATTTAGAAATAGGCATAAATTCTTATATTTAACTATAAAATGGCATATAAAAACAAATAATCATATATTAAATATAAAATAAACCTGGCAAAGACACAACTAAAAAAGAAAATTTCAGGCCGATATCCCTGATAAACATTGATGTGAAAATCTTCAATAAAATACTGGCAAACCGAATCCAACAGCACATCAAGATGCTTATCCATCACGATCAAGTCAGCTTCATCCCTGCGATGCAAAGCTGATTCAACATATGCAAATCAATAAACGTAATCCATCACATAAACCGAATCAAAGACAAAAACCACATGATTATCTCAACAGATGCAGAGAAGACCTTCGACAAAATTCAACAACGCTTCATGCTAAAAACTCTCAATAAACTAGGTATTAATGGAACTTACCTCAAAATAATAAGAGCTATTTACAACAAACCCACAGCCAATATCATACTGAATGGGCAAAAACTGGAAGCATTCCCTTTGAAAACTGGCACAAGACAAGGATGCCCTCTCTCACCATTCCTATTCAACATAGTATTGGAAATTCTAGCCAGGGCAATCAAGAAAGAAAAAGAAATAAAGGGTATTCAAATAGATAAAGAGGAAATAAAATTGTCACTATTTGCAGTTGACATTATTGTATATTTAGAACACCCCC